AACAAAGAAACTGTATGAGTAGAACCACATACATCAGAATGAATAGTCGAAACGGGAGTTGTACTTTTATTATCACTCGAAGGATATGCGTTTCTAGTATGCTTGACAAATTCACAAGTATCACAAAACAAAGATTCAAATTCAGTTTTGGAAAACAAACTAGGATATAACTTCTTCAAAGCAAAAAATGATGGGTGCCCCAACCGTATGCACTGTATTATTTCTTGGTTGACATCCTTATTTCCTCCCAAAAAAAGTCAGACCAGAGTCTCGAGTTTCATCAATCCAATATAAGTCACCATACAATCTACCACTGCCAATCCTCTTCTTTGTTTGAAGATCCTGAAAAATACAATGAGCAGGAAAGAACTCGACATTACAGTTTAGTTTTTGGTGATAAAAGTGCTAACAAATAATAGGTTAACAGGAAACTCAAGTACATGGAAAACGGATGATAATGTAATATCAAGTGTACAGACAACAAAACTTGTTCCAGCTAAAGGAGTTTGGGAGCCGTTGGTTATTCTAACATAATCCTCCTTGGGACTAGGAGAGCAGTTCTGAAAGCCTTTAGAGGAGCCTGTCATGTGTCGATTCGCACCAGAATCAATAATCCAAGAATTAAGGTGAGTATTAAAGGTAGTACTTGATTGCACATAATTGAAAATGGCAACATTAGAAGAGTCAAGTTTGTTCAGGAGATAACGAAGATGCTGAACTTGCTATGAAGACAGTTTCTCCATAAGCAATTTCCCTTGATGTCTCCACATTTTCAGCAATATTAGCTTGACCCATTGATGGATGTACATGATTTCCTCCACGACCTTTAGTCGATCTACCATGTAGTTTCCAGCATGTCTCCTTTGTATGCCTTGGCTTTCCACAATAATCACAATGCAGGTGATCTTTATCAGAAATGATTGCCCTTAGTTGCTCATGAGACACCATTAACCCAGACTTCTCGGTTGGAGTGGAAAAAAGTATGACCCCTCGTTGACTCTCTTCTTGTTGAACATAAGAGTATGCATCCTCAAGAGAAGAAGAAGGAATTTTACCGAGAACATGAACCTTGGTATGATCATACTCTTGGTTCAAACCAGCCAGAAAATCATAGACCCTTTTTAACCAATTGTTAAAAGAGAACTGCATCATCGGTATACTTTGCTTGGAGATCCTGATAGTAGTCAATCTCCTGCCATAACTCACTTAACTCGGAATACTATTCAGTGATAGTTAACTCACCTTGCTTAGTTGCATAATTCTAATTTCTAATTTCTAATTTCAAAGATTTGGGTATCATTTCCCTTGTGGGAGTAAGTGCACCTAGTTGAATTTCAGATCTTTTTAGCAGTATCAAGCAATAAGTACTATTTGGAAATTTGATGTTACATAGTATTTAAAAGTCATGTCATAATAAGGGAATTATCAGAATCCCATTAACTATAGCTAGCATCAGTCACAATAGGTGCTTTCTTTTCTCCAATAATATAACTAACAACTTTTTAGACTTAATAACAAGCAAACACGACCGTGACCAAGCAAGATAAGTACCCGTCTCTTCTAGTTTCACAACACTTATTTGTAAAGAGTGATTATCCATTGATTAAACAATTCGAAGCACAAAAGAATTCCAAAATATGAATGCGCAAAAAAAAAGGAAGAACCTGTGATGAAAAACAGCTTTCAGAATCTGCAGAAAAGCTGCCGGAGTTTACTGTTCACGTTGGAACTTGACCACTGGTGTTCACACAATCTAAATTGGTATGGGTAGAGTCGGATGAAGGTGGACGAGTCTGCCAGAAGAAAAACTGCTCAAAAAGTTCCCGAAAGAGGGTTCACGCGCCGACGCGTGACGTTGGAAGGCAACTTCTTCTGGCGGTGCGTGGAGGCACGTGAGAAGCTTTTCGGCAGCAGGAGCTTTTGTGGTTTAAAGGAATCTGGAGTTGAGTTGGTTGATTGAAGAATCTGCAATATATCATACTTGTGCCTTGACTAAGGTCAAGTTTGGTTTCTTTTGAGCTCTAATTATATAGAAAGGAATACGTGAAAAAGATAATGGTTTGGGAATTCGAACAGAGAATTACAGAGGGGACTGGTGCAAAGCATCGTGGCGTATCAATGGGTGATAAGATTTTCAATGCGACCTTTGTAGCATTGATTCCATAGAATTTAGTAGCTAAGGAACCGAAAGATTTCAGGCCTATCAGCTTGATAGATAGCATCTACAAAATCATTTCCAAATTATTGGCAGAGAAACTTGAGACAGTAGTGAATAAGTTAGTGGATGTTATACAAGGAGCCTGGTATCTTATGCAGATTGGATATTGAGAAGGCTTATGATCATTTGAACTGGAACTTTCTGCTTGACACTCTGAGGAAGATGGGTTTTGGTGGCACATGGGTTCATAGGATTATGTTTTGCATCAGCACGGTGAGATTCTCCATTTTGATTAATGGATCACCAGCAGGTTTGTTTCCTTCGCAGAGGAGCCTGAGGTAGGGTGATTCCTTGTCTTCTTTTTTTATTCATCATTTCGATGGAAAGATTGAACGATATGTTGAGACAGCTCTGGATAAGTGGCTTCAGGGTAAACTCCATGGCAGGTAGTCAATTGGTAATTTCCTATTTACAATATGCAGATGACACCCTTGTGTTATGTGAAGCTGATAAAGAACATTTGCAAATGCCAAGGGTCATTTTTATTTTGTTTGAGGCCATACCTGGTTTACATATCAACTGGAGTAGAAGCTTTTTTTAATCCCGTGAATGAGGTGTCTGAGCTTCAAAACATGGCTGAAATTCTTGGAGATAAAATTGGGACACTGCGTACAGTATATCTATATACTGGGGATGCCTTCAGGGGGCTAAAAGCAAGTTAAAAAGAATATGAAATAGGGTCTTAGAGAAATGTGAGAAAAGCTAGCTAACCGGAAGAAACAATACTTATCTATGGGAGGAAGATTAATCTTGATTAACTTAGTACTTGATGCTATGCCTACATATATGACGTCTTTATTCCCAATCCCAGTGAATGTGGTGAATAGAATTAGATGCCTTGAGAAGGAGTTTCTTATGGGAAGGAAATAGTGACAAGAAGAAAATTCACTTGGGCAGATAGAATTCCCTTACTTGTAACGAGAAGGAAGGGAGATTGAGAATTAAGAACTTGCAAATCCAAAACAAAGTTTATTGATGAAATGGTTATAGAGATTTGCTTTAGAAGAACAACCCCTAGGGAGGGAGGTAGTCACAGAAAAGTATGATATGGAAGGAAAATGGATAACCAAGCCTGTGAGAAGTCCCTATTGGGTCAATTTGTGGAAGTCTATTAGAACTTTTGGCCTAAGCTCATTAACAATTCAAACTTCATAGTAGGAAATGGAATGAAAGTATCTTTTTGGGAGGATAACAGGCTAGGTCAGAATTCACTGAAACAACTCTTTCCTGATATATATCTACTAAACCAACATCAAGCAAGAAGGAAGCGGCTCTTCCCATGGCGGAGTCACCATTGACTCTATTTATTATTATGGTAAATCAGTATATCAAGATGTCAATATGAGATCTTATTTCGGTTCGATACGTCTACCTACGAGACTCACCTTTGACTTTCGTCTCGGTAGGTGTATTATTATACATTTTCCCAAAAGAACATTCATTCATTTATTTCTTCCCTAGTAGGAAGCAACAATAGGAGACGTGTGGACAAACCAAGGTTGGAGTCTGACCTTCCGGAGATTACTAAATGATTGGAAGATTGATAGAATTACAGAGTTCTACAAGATTGGAACAATTCAAAGGGACCCCAATGCTGAAGATGGTGTGACATGGCAAGGGAATAGCAAAGGGAAGTTTTCAGTTAAAGCTGCATATAAGGAATTCAACATTTCAAATAGTCAGGTCGGTTGTTGGTCATGGAAATTGATCTGGAAGGTTAAAATTCCTTATAAAGTGGCCTGCTTTACATGGTTGTTGGCAAAGGAGGCAGGCCCAACCCAGGATAACTTGGTCGAGAGAGGATACCAACTATGTTCTAGATGTTACTTATGTGGAGAGGAGACAAGAGGCAATTATTATCTTTTTTTTTGCACCGTAAGGTGACTTCACAATTATGGAGGATATTCATCAATTTGAGGGGATTATTGTGGGTTATGCCAAGAAGAATTCTTGAAGTTTTAGCATGCTAGAATAGAGAAGGAAACCTTTCCAGTCATAAAGATAGATGGAAAATTGTCACTGCTTGCAGCTGGTGGACAATTTTGGAAGAAAGAAACTGAAGATGCTTTGAAGATTAGATCCAGCAACATCCTGAAGATGAAAAATGAAATTTTTCGTTCTTTTTTATTTTTGGTTTAAAGGAGAACACCTAGAAGATCATGAATCTATTTTTGATGTATTAGAATCCTTACGAGAAGAAAAAGGATTAGGCGAGTTTCTCCTGTTCTCCACCTTGTGATTCTGGCTGACTCCACAGTTTATGTGTAGTCTTTTTTTTCCCCCTCATATACAAGTATCTTACCTTTCAAAAAAAAAAAAATAAAAAAAAAAAATAAGGTGATATTGATAGAAAGTATAGAAAAATGAAACTGCAAGCTCATTATAAGAGGAAGACATTAGGGTGAGGGGTTGAGTTTGCCGAGGGTTGAATTTTCTTTTAATGGTCCCCAAGTCTGCTTGTGTTTGGCTGTTTGCAGCTGATATGGAGAGTTGCACAGGCATTGTCTTAAATTTATAGCATGTATAATTGGACTTTTCTTTGTCAGTTACCGTTGAAATGGCATGGCAATAGTTCGACCACTGAAGTAGTCTCGTTAAGTTGCCAGTACTACTGTAATTGAAACCGGATTCCTGTGGGTATCATGACTTCTGAAACTATGTCCTTTTCAATTTTCTTATTATTAATGGTTTTGATAATTTCTTTTATGTATGAAATCATGTAGAACCTAAGCTTGCGGAAGAAAATTTCTCACTTTATTATTGTTGTACTCTTTCATTGCAGTATGATCAAATCAAACAGTCTCAAGCTAAAGTGGTTAAAACAATTGAGAAGAGGTCCTTTTTACCACGAATGATCTATCTGTCAATTCAATGTGCTTCATCAGCTGTCAAGGAAAGTGTTGAAGCAAATGGTGTTGTCTTTGACCCTAAACTATCATCAGAGATGAGATTGTTACTCGACCGGTATGCCAATATCTTGGGATTCTCCTTCCAGGATGCTGTAGGGCTGGCTTTTGATATTTCGAGTGGCCTTAAGGACTCAGGGGTAAATTCTTCTCTCTTCGTACTGTGGATGCTTCCAAAGCTATACTCTATTTTGCATGTGTAGTACTTTTCATTCATCGTTTCTTGCTTTAATTTTTATATTTACATGCATGCTTATCGAGCCATTATGGTGAATTTTGTTGTTTTGCATCTCTCCCACATTCGTTGTAATGGCTGGGATAGTTTTTAAGGAGACGTGGAATTCTTAACTGTACAAGTTAAACAATAGAATTTGGGCATGTCACTGAAGAAATGGACTAGGTGCATTACTGCATTCGTCAAATTAAATTTTCAGAAGTTACAACTAGCAAGATTTCATAGTGTCTTTGGGCATTGAATAACCTTTGTTATTTATTTTGGTTATACTTTAACTTTTAGGAACAGTATTTTCATTTTATGACGTACAAAAGCTAGAATTTTAGTCCTATATCATATGCATCTTTAACATTTTATTTTTCAGGTTTTTTCATGGTAGATGCTAGAAAGATAATTTGCATTATGCTTGATTGAGGGTTGGAGTAAACCAGAAATTTAGTTGTTTTGAAGTATGTCTTCGGTGTATGCTCTTGGGAGCATCAAGGCAGAGAAACTGAATTAGACTCTAATACTTGAAGCTGGTATTATGTTGCAGTTTTATATGGACCATGAAAAGCACCTAGATGTAGATCATATTGAACCTGATTTTTAGCTCAATGGAGACAACTATGCTTAGCGCTGCATGTGGGTAATTAGTTTACTCAAGGTGATCAAATTTGTGAGACGAGAGAAGCGTCCTGTTACACGAAGCAAAGTTTGTCAATTTAGGTTGCTGAACCCTTTGTAATATAAAGCTGCAATGAAAGCATGAGAATTTGCAAATTGTTCCAGTTGTACAGTTGAAGTATAAGACAAAAGAACTAAATATATCAATTCTAAGAGAATCATTACGTAGTGCTTGAAGGATTTAACAATTAACTCTTCAATGCAGCTCAAAACTATCTTACACTTACAAGTATATTTCTGTCTGGTGTCAACTGTCAAGCTGTCAGTTTTGTGATGAACTACATACCAAGTTTTTATAGATTTTTGTTACTTTAATACAGGCATGGAGCTGCAATCTGATTGATTGGATGAACTTTCTCGTGTTTTTAAATGCTTGGAATCTTTATTCTCATGAAGTAGATGGAGATTCAAATACATGGCTTATTGTGAATTCAATATTGAAGAAATATATCCTGGATAAAGTCGGATCAATGGGACCACTGGAATCCTCACCTGGATGTGATCTTCCTAATCTGGTGCTTTTAGTGACAGAACCTATAGCTTGGCATATACTGGTGATTCAGTCTTGTGCCAGATCGTTAGTGCCTTCAGGAAAGAGAAAAAAGAAAGGCGGACCTGCAGAGAACTTTAACGTTCAGCTGTCTCAGGAATTACAAGAGTCGATTCTGTCTGTATGCGAGACTATAGAGCTGGTCAGGCAATGGCTTAACCAACAAATTATCAAGTCAGACGATTACAAATCGGAAAGCATACTTTCATCACTCCTAAAAGATAAAGAGGAGGGACCTGGGAAGGTCTACCGAGTTCTTGAATCTTTAACTTCTTCCTCGACAAGTGATGCGGATTTTGGTGATCGGATCACTCGAGCATTGCAGTCCTGGAGTGCTACCGATATTGCTAGAAAAATCATTTGTAGTCAGCGCACTGCATTATCTAGTTTCCTGAAAATTTGTGATTCAAAAATCAAATCATTACAGGCATTGAAAGCTCATTTATAGCTGGAGAAATAGTGGATTCTGTGTGTTGCGAGGACTGATTGTTCCGAGTGATTTTCTTGCTTCTCTAGGCACTTTTTTTTCACCATATTTTCTCCAGTTTTAATAGTGGTCAGATGTAACGTGGGCAAGCACCAGGCTGAGGCTGGTATCTCATTCAATGTTGCATAAAGTTGTATTCCGTCCAATTTTTTCCTTCCAGGTTTCGGTTCTGCTCAACTATATAGAATAAACATGAAATTCATTATCCGAGTATCTCATTCGTTTTGCCGGCTTGTAATATTTTAAAGTAATTTGGGATTTTATTTGTATATTGCTGTTACCTATTGATTCTGGTCTCTTAGTTCTTGGAAAAGAAAAAAAAAGGGATAATATAATAGGCCTCCCTCACGTTTTTCTCCATCATACTGGCCTCCCTCGCGTTTTATGATAGTACGCTTATTTCCCTTCTTTTAATTTTTTTGTAACAATTCTGTTTACATGTAATTTGACTAATTACCCTTTGTAATATATCCTTTTATTTAATTGTTTTAAAAAATATGTTTTTCTTAAATTAATCCTGTAGAACAAAACATGTAACCACCAATATTGTAAGATTCTCAAATCTCAACAGAGAAGGAAATGAAAGATGAAAAGAAAATTGATTGACATTCTAAAGGAATTTAACAAAAAGATGTTTAAATAACTAATTAAACAAAAGGGTATATTAAAAAGGGTAAGTTAGAATTTCTTTACATTAATTTTAAATAAATAAGAATTGTTACAAAAAAACTAAAATAAGGAAGGTAGAAGTAATATCGTGAACCACAAGGAAAATTAGTGTAATGGAGCAAAATGTGGGGGGGTGTAAAATTATTTTTAAAACAAAATAGAAAATTGGATGGATGTGGATTCATGTCATTGTACAAAAATAGAATAGACGTGTGACACTTGTACTATGATAGATGTAATTCCCTTAAATAGTTGTTAGTCGTTAGGCTGCCTAACGCTTGCAATGACTTCGTTATTTTAAACCGTGTCATAGTAATAAGAAAGATTTTGGTCGAATTAATTAGAAGTGCCTTGATTATAACTACTTTCTCTGTGCTTATTGCGCGTGGATGTGAACAGGTTAGTTTTGGCTAGGAATGTTCCATTGGATTTGACGTTTCAATCAACAACTAATTGACAAATGTTCGCTTTTTCAGTTTTCTTATTATTTTAGTGTTCCATTAGGTCTTAAGCAGTGTTGACTTATGAGTACGAATGTGAACAGAGTTGTTTGGGTTTAGTAAAAAGGGAATCGTCTTTTGAGATAGACGTTTCAATGATTTTAACACACTTTGAAATAAAATTTTTAATTACTTGACTTAATTATTTGTCTTCTCATTCTTATTTACCATTTACAAAAGAAAAATTAGAGTCGTTCCCTGGAGAGTTTTTTTTATTGAGTCTAGAATACACACGTTTCCTATATTTAATAAAAACGTTTAAAGATGAAATAGAAAACCGAATATAGTAGAACTCTTTTCAATTTGAAAAATAATTGTTGCGATCAAACGCCTACTCAAGTATATGTGATTGTCAAGTAATAAAGTGATAAGTAGAGTATTGTTCCTCTAAGGAATTGTTATTAACTATTAACTAAATTAGACTATCCTAATTATCTAAACAAGGTTTAAACCAAAAACTATTTGAATCTAAATTAACTAAAACAAAAGAAAATAAATAATCTATATCTATCTATATTATTATAAAATTGGAAAACCCTAAACTAGAAAGTCAAATTACTAAAATACCCTTCTTAAAAATTTAATTACTTATAAAAAATATATAGTAAAAAACTAATGTATTTTGAAGTGTCTTTTTAAAAGGTTGTGTCTTATCATTTAAGTAACTGAATGTCATTTTTCTAAATGTATTCAAACGTTGACTTTAGTAAAAGAAAAAAAAGGGGTATTTGCATCTATACCCTATTTTTGGGTCAACTTTTAATTTATACCCACTTTGCAAAAAACATTGCAAGCGTACTCACTTTTCGGGTAACTTCAGACATACGGGCCTGAAGTAGCAAAAATTTATGTCTGAAGTTTGAACTTCAGAATGTTTTGCCTGAAGTGTAGCAAAACTTCAGGTATTTTTGCCAGAAGTGTGGCCTGACTTGCAAAGGCAATCACGCAAACTTCAGTTCATAGTGCAATGGCAAACTTCAGCTCAATAAAACTACAACATGTTTTGGCTGAACTTTTTGTTTTGTAATTGCTGAACTTCAACATTCTAGGGCTGAAGTTTGTTTGTATTTGCTGAACTTCAGCATTCTAGAAGCTGAAGTTCTAAGTCTGCACACAAACTTCAGCTCTGAAGTGCAACCAATGACTAATAAGTCTGAAGTGAAAAATTGCACTTCAGATGCACTTAAGGCCAATAAGTCTGAAGTGAAAATTTGTACTTAAAGCCAAAAGGTCTGAAGTGCAACCAACGTTTTTATGCACTTAAGGCCAAATAGGCCTCAAGTGCAAATTGCCAAGAAACAGAAATTTGTTCTTCGAATTATAACAATCCAATTTACGATTTAATATCTAAATCTACTCCAAATGAGCTCAAATTTAAAACATAACCTCCAAATATCATCAGGAACAAACCCCAATCATCAATTTGTCAAAACAACAATAAATCTAATGAACCCATTTTGCAATTAAAAAGAAGAAGAAGAAGAAACCCTAAGCAATAGTAAAAAATAAAGCGTCATAATAGCTCACCATTGTATAATATCATAAACTATATTAAAATATATTCACAACCATCATATAAAATCATTGTCACCCGAAGAAGAAGAAGAAGAAGAAGAAGAAGAAGAAGAAGAAGGAGAAGACGAAAACGAAGGAGGAGGAGAAAGATACCTGAAGTTGTTTAAAAAGCGGATACAAGTTAATTTTTTTTTAAGAAGTGGATTGTATACGGTCGAAATAGATTTCGGCCTTCGCTCGTCCGATCGAGTTCGAACGATGATCTATCGAAGTAAGATCCCGAAGGTGGAACAAACTAACCTCGAACCTGGGGGGCCGATCCGTGTCGAGTTCGATATCATTATCAAGCTCGAATCCAAATCGAACCATGATGCAGAGTAGATCTATCATGCTTATAATCCAGAGACCAAACAACATTGACCTCGAATCAATTCAAGAGCTCGAGCCAGGATCGGGCTTGAACCAAGATCAAGAGCTCGAGTCGAGATCGAGCTCAAACCAAAATCGAGGGCTCTAAGCAAAATCAAGCTCGCAGATAAAAGCCGTTGCAATCCTACTAGAGAGAATCTTGGCAGAAATTGTGGAAAAGCTGACTTATCATGGGTCTCCCACTGAATGTTTATTTTATTATGCTTAGAGCCAAATCCCTCCACTATAAGAGGGCTTGGTTACCATTTCTGTAGGACAAGTTTTTTCCTCAGGCTTACACTATAATAAAAACGCTATATTCTTCTACAGTAAAGAATCGTTATTTCAGATTTCTCAAATTGATTCTATTTGTTGAGTCCTAAGATTCATTTTTCGTTACAACCTTATCTACTTCGCATTCTCTGCAATCCATATTTATATTTCTATTTATCCTTACAATTTGTATTAAGTTACGCCACATATCCTCGGAACTATGTATAAAATCAACTCTATCTATTTTTTCGGGTAAACAGTTTGGCGCCCACCGTGGGGCCGAGGATAACAGTGGTTATTTGATACAAATCTGAAAAATATGCCATTGTGCTTTGCGCTTATTTCCGAAAACACCTTGAATTTCGGATCAACTACGAATAACCATCAATCAAATGGCTTCACCGATCGATAACGGGGACAGTCTTCAAGACGAAAACAACAACTTGACACCCAGTACTGAAAGACCACTTGTGAACACCATTGGAGCTCGAATCGGAGCGCCAATTGATATCAATTCGCATGTAGCAATTGAGGCGAACCTACATGCTGAACCTGTGAATAACATCCATGGTGGGACTCGGTCTGCGGTTCGAGATACTCATAACGTCGAGAAAAATGGTGTTAGCTTGCGTATGATTTTCGAAATGTTGCAAGCCCAACAGGCAGCAATAGCCCAGTTGCAAAGCCAAACCCAGCTACAAAGCAGGCCGGAGCCCAATCCACCCCGAGAAATTACCCACAGAACGGAACCAACCATAGTAAAGTCAAATGAGCAAGAATCGGGGACTACTCCCGAAATTGCTAAATTGCTCGAGGAACTCACAAAGCGAGTCGAAGCCAACGATAAAAAAGTAGAAACTTATAATTCTAGAGTCGATCAGATCTCGGGAGCTCCACCAATGATAAAAGGGCTAGATTCAAAAAAATTCATACAAAGGCCTTTTCCCTCGAGTGCGGCCCCAAAACCAATCCCAAAAAAATTCTGTATGCCCGAAATCCCCAAATATAACGGTACGACAGATCCTAATGAACATGTCACCTCTTACACATGTGCCATCAAGGGTAATGATTTGGAGGACGATAAGATCGAATCCATGTTGTTGAAAAAGTTCGGGGAGACCCTACCGAACGGAGCAATGATCTGGTATCACAATCTACCGCCAAATTCCATCGATTCTTTTGCCATGTTAGCAGATTCGTTCGTAAAGGCACATGCTGGTGCCATAAAGGTTGCAACAAGGAAATCAGACCTCTTCAAAGTAAAGCAAAGGGGTAATGAAATGCTGAGGGAATTCGTATCCCGATTTCAAATGGAACACATGGAATTGCCACCGGTCACAGACGATTGGTCCGTACAAGCTTTCACCTAAGGGTTGAACGAGCAATATTCGACAACATCACGTCGGCTGAAGCAAATTTTGATCGAGTATCCAGCAATAACTTGGGCAGATATACACAACCGATATCAATCGAAAATTAGGGTCGAAGATGACCAGTTGGGAGCTCTGTATGGACCCGTGCATCAGAACAGGACAGCTACTAAAAACCAAAGGGAGATCGACAGAGAACAAAGGTCGAACAGAGACCGATATCAACCTTACGTCGCAGATCAGATGAACAACGGTTCAACATGCAATACAGTTCGGAACAATTGAAGGATTGATCGAGGGAAAAATTCTCGGGGACTTATCTTTGATAAATATGCCGATCCTCTATAGAAGTACCTCGGTTATCAGAGTATAACTTTAGCGTTGATGCATCCGTCATCGTGTCGGCTATCGGACGCATCAAAGACACTAAATGGCCTCGACCCATGTAGACCGATCCTGCCCAAAGGAATCCCAATCAAATGTGTGAATATCATGGCACCCATGGCCACAGAACGGAAGATTGCAGGCAGCTAAGAGAGGAAGTAGCCC